TTGTTGGTGGGAGTGCAGACTGGTGCAACCACTGTGGAAATCAATATGGAGATACCTCAAAGAGCTTGGACTGGAGGTTCCATTTGACCCAGCCATCCCTCTGCGGGGTATCTTTCCAAAAGAACTAAAAGAATCATATCACAGAGAAGTATGCACACCCATGTTTATAGTGGCACAGTTTGTAATAGCTAAAACTTGGAAACAGCCCATTTGCCCATCCGTTGGAAACTGGATAAAGATGTGGTTTTTGTATAAAATGGAATATTACTCAGCCATAAAGAATGAGAAAATAGATTCATTCATAGGAAAATGGATACATATTGAAGATATACTCCTAAATGAAATAAGTAAGGCACACATGTGTAAATACCAAATAATTTCTCTGGTGTGAATAATCTGCAATAATACATAAGATCCTAATAAGATTACTGACATTTAGAAATGGGAAGAAAGGAGCTAAAGGTGTAGGGAAGGTGGGATGGGTAGGGGAAGGGTAATAAGGGAAAAGAAAAAAATGTGAGATAATGAAAAGATGGAAATAAAGTGTTTGTAGATGGGGAGAGGAGGAGGGGGTGAAGGGAGGGCAGGGACAAGGGGAAAAAATGAGAACCAAGACTTGTCATGTAGAGGTACAAGATCCCAACAATGAATGTAACTGTACGGTATCCCTAAAATGTACCAATAAACTCAATTAAAGCTGAAAAAAAGATACTATATAAAGTAAAGTATTATTAATTGCTTAGTGGGCTGATACCTAAATGAAGGAGTAACCCCGATAATCTGCCCTTAAAAAGCTTGGATTGCTTGAGGGATAAGATAGAGTTTGTCATGATCTTACTAAGACCCAGTAATATTTCTAATATTATTGGCTGGTATGCAATAAACATTTTATTATCAAGTGTATTAATCTTCAGCTACTGACAACACTTTTCCATGCTCCTTAAAGAAAAGCTAGTAGAATGTGTGTTCCAATGGAACCAAGTGCAACTAAGCAGTCTTTTCTGGGAGCATACTCGCTCCTTAGTAGTCAGGTGGTTCATCCATCACATGGCAATAAAGGAAGACCAAGAAGGTAAGAAAGTGTCTTACTCTAGGACGCGACATTTTACAAGTCAGAAATTATGAGGCATAGCCTTTGATTGATGGCCTGTTTTTGGTAGATGGAGAATAGTATCTGTTGGCCTTATATTGCTTTCACCAAACAAGAAGAGATAGGACAGAACAAAGACACAATCACTGCTGGATTCTATATACTACTGTGCTAACCACTTCTCTAATTCTCTGTTTATCTCTCAGTCCTGTGCACACTTCAAGTATGGATTTCTGGCATCACAGTTACCCAGTAACTTTTTAGAAATGTACAATTTCAAGTCCTTCCCCAGACCTACTGGAGTTGGGCTCCAGAAATTTGTATTTTAATCAGGTGTCCATGTGATTCTCACGCACATTAAAGTTTGAGAAGCAGTGTTCTAGGGCACTCTATCCCAGATATGTGGGTTTTTAGTAGGTGACCTGCCAAGCATAGTTCTAGTTTGGTGAAATGATTTAGAAAATTATGGGTTAAACAAAGTTAGGCTTTTCTGTGGGGGAAAGAGGTAGTTCTACTGGATTTCATAGAGCTTTAATAAGTTACTATACTGCTCAGAATCATCCATTGAATTCTAAACATATTTTAAAGTAACAACTAAATTCTTTATTGTGGTTTGAGGCTCTGCATAATTTGACTTCATTGACTCTGATCTCATCTGACTCTTTGTTGTTCTTGCTTACTACATGCAGGTACACTGATCTGTTAGCCAAGCATAATCTTACTGTAAGACCTTTGTACTTGGTATTACCATTTCCTGGAAATCTCGGGTATCTGCTCAATTGTATCTTCTTCAGAGATATCTTCCTGTATAAAATTCCGTATCTTCCTGTATAAAATTGCAGTTTCTGCCACTTCACTCTTGTTTCTTAGTTTTATTTTTCCTCAAAGCCCTCATTTCTCTGTTCTTTATATTATTATTTGTTGATTGATTTTTTTTTGTTTCCCTCAGTAGAAGTAGACTCCATGAGGAGTTACTTTCTTCAGTCTCTGCAATAATGCCCAGCACTTAGTAGGCTGCTCAGTAATATTTACTGATGAATAAATGAACAAATGAATGGAGAAAGAAGATGAAGGCGAATAGACTGTACTCTCATTGTAGAGTGGAAAGTAGCAGTAATGGGACAGAGAGTGGTTGCCCAAGAGGAGCATGTAAGCCACACAGAAAGCAGGATAGACAGTTTCTTTTCATGTCTGGGATCTACAGGGCTGGAGGTATCCTATACTAGGTTGATAGACTATCATTGACTGTTCCCACCAAGGCCACTGAGACATGGGAAAATGAATTTTCTGTATTTTTTGTCTGTAATCATGGAGCAACCATGACTGTTCTATACAGAATAGAGTACTGATGAGCTGTTCAATGATATGTTTTCCTTAGTTATTTTTTTCTGGCATATATCCTGTGGAAGTCATTCTCTTTTATGGCTTCAGCTGTTATCAGTAGACACTGGCTACATTTCTGTGTTCTTTCCTGCATTTCTATCGCCAATATGGCATACCCACTTGGATGCTGACTTAACATCTTCTGACTTAACATATTCAAAGGTAACAGCATCAGTTCGTTCTCCAAACCATATTACTTTCTGATTTTTACATTTTTGATAAGGGCAACAATATCCTCATAGTCATTGAGGCTAGAAACCATACGGGCAGTCCCACACGACTCTATTCCTTGTTTAAACAGTTACCCACTCTCGTTGATTACTCCCAATGAGATCTGTATTTCTCTTTTCTGTTCTTCTTCCTTCCACCCATCCCTCCTTCTTTCCTTTTTTTTTGGTTACTACCATAACACCAGCTGAATTGTCTCAGAAGGTTTTGAAACTTGCTTTCAATTAATTCATCTTGAACAGGGCTGCACAGCCTGATTCTCAAGAATCAATATGACCCCACCTTGTCTGTACAAGCTTATCCTTCCTGATTTCCTCGCATGTCTCAGATCTAGCCAAGGTGGACAACTTGTTCTTTTCCTGACTCTTTGTTCTTCTATTCTCATATCTTTGATCATTCTATTCCCCTTGAGAAGAAATACTTTTTGTTCATGGTTTTTTTTATCATCTTGTCTCTCTTTTCATACCCAAATTAAATAATACTCTCCTCCATGAAGTTTTTTTTCTGATATGTTCTTTGAGAAAATATTCTTACCCCCATTTTTCAATATCATATAATACTGAATATTTTTGGACATTATACCTCATTTTATAATAATTTTTACTCTTATTTTACTGCTACCATCATACTGAAAGCACCTTGAGTGCAGAGCTTTTATTATGTTCATCTCTGAATCTCCCCAATAGGCATGCAAGAGGTATTTATTGACTTGATATGAAATATTTGCCCAAAACTGTATGTCATTATAACAATGCTATTATATCATGAATTAATAAAGTTCTTTATCTGAGGAAATGGCCATATTCATACCAAGGCCCTTTTGGAGAAGCATGGTTAATATTAATTGTGTGACAAAGAAAAAGTGCAGAAAGGCTAAGTGATTGCCATTGTCACACATATGGGACCCAGGACCCTCAAAGTCCCAATTTGTAAGCTGATTCACACTTCTCTTAAGAACCCCCCCTCCTCTGGAAAGTAACAGTTGCTGTTGATCATCTACTGAACATCATCTGAACTGCTTGGAACCAGGGAAACTGAGAGGCTTCAGCAGTTTATCCCAAATGAATAAATTCAGATTCAGATGCCCCAGTCTCATGAGACACCAAGCAGTTGCTTTTTTCTGCTCCTCAGTCTGGTAGCCAAGGTGCAATCCAAGAAAGGTCTGCCTCTATCCCATCCACCCACTCACTCAGCTGTCCACAAATTGTACAATTTTTTGAAATTGACAGAGCCCCTGCTAATTGCCTTGTATTGGCCAGTTACAAGATGCAGCTTAGGAAAGGAGACAAAGCCTCCCTATTCACATTCTCAGTGGGCAGCAGGGGTCTCAGCAAAAATAGAGAAACTAGAGCCCAAGCTATTCATTTTTGAAAAGTAAGGACAAGATCTTCCACCGTGCAGAAGCCCACATTAAAATCACAATATTGCATCCTAGGAGACCCTGTCTGTTTCTTATTTGATGTGTCAGAAATTTAGAGTCTAATAAATCAAGTCTAATAAATCAGTACTACTTATAGCTACAGACCTTTTCCCTCCTCCAAAGTGATACAAACTCTACATTTTAATTTCATTATTATTTTTTCCCAGTTGGAGGTGGGAGTAAGAAGAAGGAAAGAGAAGGGGCAGTGCTTTTCATGAAAACATCATTCTTGTGTTTATATTTTAAGAAAGCAGAGGAGAGGCACTAAATACAGCCTGATAACTGAACTTTCTGTTTAGAATTTCTTCCTCTCCATTGGGCCTTAGCTAGGTTTCAATAATTATTGCTCAGGCACATAGTCTTGGAGCTTTGCTGTTTCTCAGACTTGTACACAGTTCTAGGAAGGGTTGTTGCCAAAGCCATCATGTGATTTATTGACCCTCCACTGGGACAAGAGGGAACAGATATAACTTTGTGATTTTATTATAAGGAGGCTGGGTTAATATTTCTAGGTGAAACAAGCTACTATACCGAGTTCAAACATCTGAAGAGGGAGGTTAAGAAACCCTGAGTGTGGGGTGTAAGGATTATTCTGTCCTGGGGCTGTACAGACGTCGTCTGAGGCAGGGAGCAGGAGAAGAAAGGACACATTGTGACCCATTTCCAACACCTCCTGTGTGTAGAGGCGGAAGTTTCTTGCCTGCAGAGGGACACGCGCAGAGGAAAAATAGGAGAGTTACAACATGGCACTTACATAAACAACACCAAACTGGCATAAAACATCTAACAAAATTACACGACTTCAAGCTTGGAATTTTTATACAACATAAATATTAGGGTTCAGCCCATTTAATAATGCTATATAAAATCAAGATTTAAGGCAGTAATGTTCCACATAAACTCTGAAAACAACATTTATGCTTCTTATAAAAGCAGAAAATGATTGCATTCTGTGGGTTTTTCAAAATGATGAATATAATTACATGAAGCAACAAAAATGGATTGAATTAAAAATCCACTAGTTTCAGTTTAAGTTGGTTAAGGGGGAAAAATGTAGTTTCTGGCCAAGGACTTAGAAAATTTTATAAGTATAAAAAAAAATTGTATGCACTGTTAGGCAGTTAGGCAGCCTTCTCCCAACATGTATATGTAGCCCAAGAGTCACCAATGAAATATGAGCTGCCTCAAACCTGTGAAGTCCAAGAAACCCCTTAATAGAATCTACTATCACAAGTAGAACTGGTATTTTTTTTTTCTCCTGAGCATATGGCTACCCTTTGAATAATTCTTGCTCCCCTAGTGTCTTTATGGCATCTCTTGTAATTTTAGTCTTCACCAGTGTTGGCTGGTTTGGACTGACTGTGCAGTATTGACAAAATCAGAGCAATACAGTGGTGGAAAGACACTCTTGGAATCTCTAATGTATCCCTCTTCCTCCATGGCTTAGAGGCCAATTCATGGTTCTTTTTCATTGATAGAGAGCCAGCCACTCCTATAATGGTCTTCCTAAATAGGCTAACAGTGTGTGTGTGTGAGATGGATGCTTTGAGGACAGGGGCGGTATATGGTGGATATAGGCCACAATAAACAAACAAACAAACAAAAACAAAATCCTAATGCTACATTATGTTAAACCACTAGACAAAGTCTAGCAAAGTTTTGCTAGTCTTTTCTGTGCCATCAATTTTTCTTGCAGTTGCTTATTTGTGCAGATTAGATTTGTGGAATTTGATTTAGATGAGACAACAAGTTTGACAGTAAATTTTCTGTGGAAATATAGCATGACATAGCTTAGCTATTCCTATAGATTACTGTTATTCTGTTCTCAGAAAATCATTTATCCATATAACCACATGGCTCTTTGTTTATGCATACATGTATGCATGCATTCTCTTTGGTTCATGCTACCCTGTGAGCCTTAATGTCCTTTAAGGTGGACTTTTTTCTTGACCAGACCACATTTCAGTGGGGTCCAGAAAGATTGGAAGAGAGACAGGCAGGAGCTGGAGAAAAAGAGCAGAAGTGCAGTATACATCTACCTGTATACATTTTAAATTCAAAATACGAATGTGCATACAAAGTAGTGTTTAAATACATGAAAATAAACACACACACACACACACACACATATATACATGCCTCTTGAATAAGTTTTATGCTGCAGTGTAGTTCGGTGAGCTATAAAAAGAAGATAAAAATGGTAAAGTCTAGTACCTGGTGTAGAGGTATATTGATCTGCTTAAGGAGAGCTTTCACTGCCATCTGGAGCTCATAGAAGAACAATTGCATGGGGCAGTCAGAAGTATGATCCACACTTTCCATAGATTCAGAGCCAGAAAGCTTTTGGATCCATTCCCACTCCTCCCTGTATGTTGAGTCAAATTAAAATGAGAAATATAACAAAAGTTCTGAATACAGCCCAGAACTTCCTTAGTATATATGTCCAGAACCTGTATAACCAATTGTTGGTAGTTTAAAACTCAATGTAATTCACAAAATTTGAACTTTTTATTACCCACATAGAGTTTAAGATGAGATCTTTCTAAACTAAGCTTAGTTTGCTTATCAGACCACACATGTCTCAGAACAACAGTATTAATTTGTATGAATCAGTTTTTGAGATGGAAGCTTTTAAATATTTTGTAATATCTTCTTTACTGTCCTCATTTTCTTTTCCCTAGGATCCTCTGTAAGTTCTAAGAGCCTACATTTTACCGCAGGGGCATCTGCTGGTTAATTCTGCAGTTGGGTAACCATGGGACTCTGGTCCAACTCAGGAAACAAACCACATGGCACATTTCAACCCTGGACTGTTGTAATCACAGGGGCTATTTTGGTTTCTTTCCCCTTCCAAAAACTTGAGGAGAATCACAAACAAGAACAGCAGACAATTCTAATAAAAGGAACCAAGGGGACACACATCACTGCTCCCACCCTCCTCGCAGATCAGTCATCGGTGCCTTCTCGCGGCATGCTCTGTAGTCCTTCCTAAGGAACTTTTCCAAATGTCATGCACAAAGGAAGGGACAAGAATGGTGGTGGAAAGCAAACACATCTGGTTTGTCCTCCAAAGGCTGCTCTTTAAAAGGAACTTGAAAGGATAAAGGTAAATGGCCTTTGGGCAACATTGTTTCTACAGGTATTTTAGCACAAGTTTCTAGACACATTCAGTTGGGCCTGTTTCTCCTTCATCTCTGCAGAGAGCAGCAATGTGCTCTAGGCTAAAAAGGGGAGGAAAGTCCTCTTTTTTAGGAATGGAAAGAGAGGAGACATTGGCATATGTTCTCACCCTGTGGAGATCCTCTGAGGGCTGTCAAAGGTCACACCAGTCTGGGCTTCAATCGTGTATCAGAAAACCAAACTGATTGTGGTATAAGCTTCATAAAACAAAAAACAAAACGGCAGTAATAAAAACTCTTTCTTTTAACTACTCTCAGTTTGTGTTTTAAAGATATATTTGATTTCAAGCCTCGTGCACTGTAAGACTGAAAAATTTATCCTTTGTTGCAGTAAGAGAAAAAAAATCAAAATTAATTCCTACTGTAATCTGGACGTATTTGTGGCTTCATAAATAAGTGAAATCTTTGCAAACCTACTTAACTATTTTTTCTTTTCCATCACTGATGCTGAACTAAATGAGTAACAAAAGTATACACAAAATCTAAAGAACCACTTTGCTAAATAGAGTCTATAGTAAAATCAGAAAGCAGATTAACAGTGAGAGTACCTTGGAGCACATAGCACTAACTAGTCAGTTTAGGTGTGAGGGGCGGGGGCGATGGAATTGGCAGAGTGAAGGCTACTGAAGTATTTCATAAAAATGAACCTTGGATCCTGGGGAAAAGGACATTAGCATAACTATTGAAACACAGAATCTAGGCCCTTAATGCACAAATCTAGAAATGAATGAAAATGACCCTGTGCCAAGTCAACCCACAAATGAGCCAGGTCACCTTTTGGGAAGGACTCATGTTGATTGTCAAAGTGACCACCAGGTGGCAGCCTTAAAGCCTGGGTGGAGTTAGATAAGGGAATGGAGAGAATTATGGCGGTCATTGAGTTCCTCAGAGACTATCAACATCACCACCACCATCATCTCCTCCATTGCCATCAAGTAATATTTGTGTAGTAAACCTTGTGAGATGTTATAATTAGTAAAATTTTGCCATTTTAGGGAGTAGGTTTTAAACAGCCAAACTGGAGATTTGTTTGGTTAAACAAATTCGTAGATATACAGTGGAACCTTGAGTTACGACTGGTCTAACATACAAAGAACTTGGGTTATGATAGGGATTTTAGTTTTAACTTACAACTAAAATATTGAGTTACAACCTGAATGCTGGCCACTTGTGCTTTGGGGTGGTCTCAGATACAGATTTATCCCTTAAAGAGTTCTGGAAGGAACATTACAAATCCTTTCCCGTGTAGGGTTAATTGAGAAATTTTGGGCTAGTATCTCTCTAAGAATGCTGGCATCTACCTGTATGTAGGAGAGAGACTTTGAAGGCTGTGTAGAGTAACCTGAACCTTCAGTTGACAAACTTGAGTTACATCCAGCCCTTGGGAATGAATTGAGTTTGTAAGTCAAAGGTCCCCTGTAACTAGAATTTGGGGCTCTAGTTTTTATTCTTTGAAGCCTGAAGAAATTTGGAGATTTTTTTGTTTATTACATGTTTTTTCTTTTTTTTAATCCACATTGAGCAAAATTCAGTTCATTATAATAGAATTTCACAGGCCTGCTATTAGAGTTAGTTGTAAAGTTGAGCCAGATCACCATGACTGGGCAATGTTCCCAAAGCTAACAGGGTAATTCACCAAATGCCAAGCCATAGAGCAGCTTTCCAGATTCTCAGACCTTGTTACTTCTTTTCTTCTATAATCATAAGAGGTAGAGGAAACTGTAAGATCTTTAGGCCAGAGGGTTAAGAATAGGGTGAACGAAGGTACTGGTAGGAGAAGTCCTTTAAAATCAGAGAGAATCAATAGCTCTACCAGACCTCATCCCCGCAGGTGATATAAAAACAAAGAACAAAAAGAATGTGACTGTTTCAGATTGTGAAGAAAAGATTGGAAAAAGTAATTGCAACCACTAATGCACATTAGCCATCCGTGGGAATGAGCATCCATGGTCGCACCATGAATAATGCAAAGGGAACAGTGAGTTCGCTGCTCCCATCTAACAACAGTGACAGGTCTCCTTATCCCGGTGGTAAACCTCTTCTGTGCCACTGCTCCGTTGTGCCGGGAGACATCTCCCCATTGAAACCACACAACAAGCCTTCGGTCACGTCACTTCGATTCCTGGAGCCACACATAGGTAGCTCATCACAGAGAAAATCTCAACTACTGACTACTTACTTGGAAATGTTATTGTTTTCACGGATCTTCGCATGGCAGAGAATGTTGGGCAACTTTTGAGTTACAAGAACTTTGATTTGATCCACAGAGCTACATAACTTTAGGTAACCTAGGTATAATCCGGGAGAGAGACGCTGGTGACTCCTTTTGTGGTAGGAGAGAATATCCTGTAGGATGAAACAAAATAAGAAAGAAAAAGTACCCAGAAAAGTAGTCTTAAAACTTTTTTCTTTCCAAGATGGGCCTGTTACGAGTGAAAGGAGCTGTGACTAATTAGGTGAGAAACCTTCCCCCATGAATGCTGCTCAAGTGGTGTTGGTACTGGTGGTGCAGCCTTTTACCTTCAGCGGAAGTCTCCTTCAAGTCAGCAATCAGTCTTTAATGTATTCCGCCAACTTATTTTTCCCAGATTTCTGTGCCAAGGGCAAGTGTATGGGTTGTATTGGGAATGCACTGGTGATGGTGGGAGCAGATAAAGAAAGGTAGGATTCTTAATTTCTCTCCCAGGAGGGCTTAATGGTTAGCTGGGGAAACATACATTTGCCGAGGCAAAATCTAACAAAGCAATTATATGAAATTTCACAGTTTCAGGATAATTAAAACAGAAAGTCCATTTTTTAAATGAAGCCACTTAAAGCAGAAACAAAATTTTACAGTAAGCAGGCAAAAAGATTTGATTGATTGATTCTTTATCTTAAAAAAGTAACCTCAAGAGTTTCATTTTATATCATTAACAAATCATAGTTGTACACCAAACCTGAGAATAAAGAAAGAATCAAGCATTGATTTTTTTGGGCTTTTTTTTGACTAAATTGTATGATAGGTGAAGTGATATTCCCTATATTTGACTTTCACAATAATAAAAACAATAGCTTGTGAAAGTTTCTGAAGCTTCATATTTTTGATATTAAAATTTTTTGATATTCAAATATTCTTATAAACATTGCTCATTATGTGCTCTTCAATCAGTGGGTCTGTAGCTTCAAGAGTCTCACTTGTTAGTGGCTTTGTGTGTGAGTTGATTGGGCTTGCACATCATTTTCATCAACTTCACAAAATTCTCTGTCTTTAACAAGAGCTGAAAGTTTGCCTCAAAGTGGATTTGCGTTAAAATTGCATTGCTTTGTCACATCAAAATATCCCACGTGTTGTGGAGACTGAATGAAGTTGGTACAATAGGAAATGTCAGCCAAGTTAAGTACACTGAGATGTTCGAATTGAATCTTGTTTTAGATGGGATCAGTTCTCTAGTGAGCCGTCTTGAGTTGTGACCCTTGCCTCCTTCTACAAGTGCAGGGCTCAGATGGTGGATCATTAGAAAACACGGGCATTCACTTCTTCCCCACCCTTATATTATGAAGTAAAACTTTCTAAAGCTTGGGCAGAAGAGTATGGGAAAAAAGTTAGCAGTGAGGAGTCAGGTCACTGATTATAGGGGAGGGCTTCTGGTAGGCTAGTTTAGCTTGGTTTTTAGAAAGGTAAAACAGCTAAGTAAATTTCTGGGTGTCACCACAAATAACTGAATGAGATATGGGATATAATAGTTAACTTGACCTGCCATTCTGCATTGTATATGTATATCAGACATCGCATGGTAGCCCACAAATGTTCAATTATAATTTTTAAATTAGAAATAATAAAATGTATGTATATATAAAAAAATGAAATAAAGGGAATCTACCACTAACTGTAGGGAAGGCAAGAAGTGAAACAAAACTGAAAATTTAAACTTGTATGGGACTCTAATGAAGCAAGTTATCGCCTTCTTTGACCACTGCACTCTGAAGGAGTGATTTCTCCTCTGTAGAAGTAACCAGGTGTAGCACCTGACATACACTATTGTGTATTGTTTCCTCTGTCTCATCATTTATCAAACATACACTGAGTTCCTGTGATGTGCTGGACACCATGGGAAACACTGGGGTTTCAGGTAAACATGATGTGACTCCTACTCCTATGGGAGCTGGGAAAGACAGATGATCATGATATAGTGAAATTAGTTTTTTAATAGAAACAATGTAGGCATGCAGTTGAAAGAGTACTTAACTTACATTTTTTTCTATTTTTCGGGGGCATGGATTCTGGGGAGCAAACCCAGGGCCTTGTACATACTAGTCAAGTGCTCCATCACTGAACTATACTCCCAGACCCTCTATTTTCTTGACCTGGACTGTGAGATTACACAACACATGGAAATCAGGTCGAGTCTCTAAAACATAATATGGGAACAGCAGCAGAGGAACAAATTTAAGAAAGAGTAGTCACAATTGTGAGGAAGATATAACACCTAGTATGTACAGAAAACTCTAAGCTTTTGAAAGGGCATTTGGTAAAAACTTTTTCTTATGCTCAGCAGGGAAAGAATTCTTATTAATATCAGGATGGGTAAGGCTGAACTTACTCATATCTTCTATCATGTCTTTTTAGAACAGATCATAGTAGTAGTTGACTGGAAGTTCAGTCAAGATAGTGTTTGGGAAACGAAGAATTAGTCAGAGGGAGAGAAATGGTTAATGTGAGAAAGCAAAATAGAAGTGTTCAGATCAGCAGTATTTGATGATGTGTACCCTAGGGTATTTCTGAAGAAGCAAATGTGGCTATAGACCCATAGGTCATTATTTTTTAGAAGTCACGGAGAAGTGGGAAAGTCCCTCAAGACTGGAAAAGGACAAATATGCCTGTTTTAGCAACAGAAAGGGGAGAAACACAGGATGACCCTAGTAATTAAAGACCTCCAACTTATTGATCTTTGGGAAAAATGAGAAAGAGTCAAGCATACAATCAGTTTGCAGTCACCCACGAAGTCCTGAGGCACTAAGGAGGACTCAGTAAAGTTTTGTGAAGAGCAAATCATATAAACATCTTTAATTTATAACAGCAGTAAAATAGGATACACACACTATGCAGAAGTCTCCAGGATAATCTATTTCATTGGATAACCTAGATAAAGTAGAATGTTGACCATATTTAAGAAGCTGAGTGTCTGGGCTGAAGATCTATGGATGGTAGAGATGGTATGGGACTAGCAGACAGATGGAGTGATGGTGCAATAGGGATTGTTCCCAAGGGCCAGTCTGTTCAGCTTACTTACTGACATTTTGGACAAAGAAAATCAAGAATGTGTGTATCAAGTTTGTGGCTCTCAAATTTGGTGTGGTTTTGATTTTCTGGAAAATAGTAATAAAGCTATGAATGGCCCAATGCGTTGGAAAATAAGCCTATCATAATTAGGGTTGAAACTTAATAAGAAAATGTGCTTGTAAAGATTCAAAACCAAGAGTACAAATACAGGATGGGTAAGAGTGTAAGGGAAAAACATGTCAGGGTCAGCACTGACCACAAATAGAATGTGAGTCAGGAACATACTGTGGTTATACAAAAACCAACGCCATTCTAGAATGGAGTAATTCACTCTTTCATTCAGGTTTTTAAAAGACTATTACTGAGCATCTACTATATATATATATTTTGCCTTTACACAGTCATTTATTCTTCATCAGAATGTTTTTGGAGCCTGAGAAACATAAGGAAAAGAAAGGAGCTGTCTTCTTCACGTAAATACAGTACACTAGAAAGGCCCTCTAACAACAAATTGAGTATGTGCTTTAACCTCTAACCCACATTTCTAGTCACTACCTTCCATGATAGCCTTTTTATGTCCCCTCTCTCCTGCCATAATGGATTTCCATAATACATGCTCTAATCTCCTTTTTGTGATTGTTGTTCATGAATTCACTTACTCGCAACTACTGTCGAGCACCTAGCTATGTCAGGGATTATGGTAGGTTATTAATGACACCAAAATGATTAAGACACTGTCTTTTCCTTCCAGAAATTTATATTTCAGTGTTTTGGTGAAACATGTAAACCAGTTTTTCTACACCAGCATAACAAAGGCCATAAGGACAGTGTGTAAGGTCTACATGGACCCAAGGGAGGGTGAGATCAATTCTTCCAGCTTCTACCTTGTTTATTATGGCCTCTATTGAATTCCCTCTTCATTCCCTTTCCTTGTTTTTTCTTTCTCCACCTGATAAACTTATCTTCATGTCTCAGCCCAACGCCACCTCTTCTGCAGTGCCTTCCCTGATATTTCCAGGCAGAATTAATAGCTGCTTTGTGTGCTCTCATAGTACGCTGTTTGTACTGCTATCAGACTCTGGTTTAATTCTGCCTTGTATTACTTTGATTTGTTTACAAGACTGTCTCTTTCCCTTGACTGAACTCCTTGAGAGCAAGGACTCTGACTTATTCATTTGTTTTCCCTATAGCACCTAGAAGAGTGCCTGGAACCTAGTGGGTGTTGAAAAAAATGTTTATTAAACACAAAATGAAAGGCTCAGAGGTGTGGGCTATGAGGCTGGGCCTCCAGGAGAGAAAAAGCTGTAGTGGCACAGTGATCAGGAAGGGTGTATTGCGTCTCTTTTCATTGATCTGATATCCTAAGAGCTTGTTAAAGGAATAATAAACAGTTACTCTCCCAATAACTATAGAGCTTTTATTTTGCTGGATGTGGTGTGGAAGCTGAATCGTGACAGAATGGTGTCTAGTGGCTTTTGTGGGACCAAGATTATATAGACTAAAAATAATTTAAATTTTCTGAATTATTTTCTTGCTTTTAATACTAAGGAGATTTTTACCCTAAACACTGGAACTCAAACTGCTCTTTTAAAAGTGGAAAATATCTCAACAGTGGAACCATGCTCCTCCATTGCAATAGCTGAGACCGAACAGAGTTTGCTGTCTTTAGATGAGATGAAGACTCTCCAGATTAATGCAGTCTATATAACTTCTACTTGTTTCTTTTTAAAAATTGAGATGTAACTTAAATACTGCAAAATTCATCCTGTTGAACTATGCAATTCAGTGATGCGCAGAATATTTATAAGATCATGCAACCACCATCTCTGTCTAATTCCAGAATGTTTTCATCACTTAGAAAGAAATCCTACATTGATTAGTTGGCATTCTCTAATCTCTCCTCTCTTGCCCCCAGAACCATTGCTTTTTATCTACATGGATTTTGCTTACTATGGCTATAGTATATAAATAGAACCATATAATATGTGACACTCTGACTGGCTTTTTTCACTTAGCATATTTTCAAGGTTTGTCCACTTTGTAGTATGGGTTGTGCTGCATTCTTTTTTATGGTTGAATAATACTCCTTTGTATGTCTATATCACATTTTGTTCCATTCATCAGCTATTTGACATTAAAATTATTTCTGCTCTTTGGCTGTTATGGATAATACTTTGTGAATATTGGTAAATACATTTTTGTGTGAACTCATTGTTTCTTAAGTCCAGGCCAATTAGCTCATACCCATTTATCTCCCTGATTTGATAATTTTGATACCTATGTTAGATACCACTTCAGGGTAGAAAGAGTAGGGAAAAAAAAGAAAAGGCAGAAGATGAAATAGGTCTAGGGCACTTTGAGGCAGCAAAGAATTCCCAAGGAGAAGACAAGAAGGAAAACAGGGATGGGAGGACACACACACACACACACACACACACACACACACACACGCCAACCTGCAGCACAGCTTCTCTAGGACAAACTCCTAAGCAAGGTGGAGAAAAAGTGAAGAGAGAGTGCATTAAGCAACATGGTAGAATAGGAATGGCACTAGGCTGGGTGTCAGAAGATGTGAGCCCTTCTTCTGCATTTCAACTGATAGGAATTTGGCAAGTGATCTACTTGAAATCCATGGTCTCATCTGCAAACTGGAAGCAAAAGAATTTCTCAAGCCCATTGGATTTTTTTTTTTTTTTTTTGTACTGGGGATTGAACTCGGGTCCTTGTGCTTGCGAGGCAGGCGGTGGAACCACTGAGCTAAATCCCCGACTTAAGCCCATTGGATTTTGAATAAAATTATATATAGATGTAACAAAGCATTACAAAACTGAATATAAGTACACAGGTGAGAGATTAATTTTCAGAGGAAACTTCACATGAAGGTATCCGGTTCCTGAAGTGACCCCTGAAGATCATGTTTAGAACACCTAGCACAGAAGAGGAGCTTTCTTATTGGAAATACTCTGACAGTGAGTTTGCTCAGAGGTACTCTAACCTGTCCTTACTAGCTCTCTTTTACTTCCAACGGCACAAGAAAGATTTTTCTTTCCTACTTGTATTAGAGGGGTCAGTTTCAAAGGTCTAGGATTTGAGAGGGTCAGGAAATTAAGAGAGTTGGACAGTGAAGCTTCCTTGGGGACCTCTGGCCTATTAGATTAGTTTTGGGCTGAGATTTTGTTAAAAGTTTAGAAAACCATTTTTGAAAACCCATTGTGCATCATGTAGTTTTTAGACAGCCTCTCTTAACTGTTATGAAAAAGTAGATGAAGTGATACAATGCTTCAGGGAATAAGTGGGTCGATACCAGGGGTGTGCAGGAGAGTAGGGAAGAAGAGATGTGCTGTACGTGTCCCGAGGAGAGATAATAAAAATCACTAGCATTTATTGTGCTACTCTCCTAAGGCTTTACATACTAAGTCACTTCATGCAGGGGTTTCTTTGTTTTAAAGGAGGCAAAACGGGATGAGAAGTCAGTAATTTGTTCTGGTCATATAATTAGAAAGGACGGGGTCAGGAATAATGTCCCAGTCAGACTGATCCCAAAGTGGTAGCCAGAGTGTGTTGTGAGGTAGCGAGAGAAAGCCCAGGTTTCCAATGACAAGCGTGCCCGACTGTCATCATCCCACTTCCCCGAGGAAGGAGAATAGTCTGTGGCCTGTCACTGTGGGAGTTTCTCAGCCTGCCTGGGCCTTCATCAAGACCTGTCAACCCTTGTGTTGAGTTGGAGCCTAGTCCTGACCATGGAATCCTAAATCTAGGATGGATTAGACACCAGCTCTAAGAATTTTAGTACCCATTTCCATCTATATAGGGGGGAGAGAAAAAGTGAGGGAAAGAGAAGGGGAGAGGAGGTGGTTGGGAATGACATCAAGCAGGAATGTGCCAGTCAGCGGGGGTAAATTTTCCACTTGGATCTGTGTGGAAACCTGATCCTGCCTCTATTTTTGGTCTCCTTCTCTAACAACCTTTCACCAGACTGGAATTTTTCTGCACCTGTAACACATTTTTAATGTAATAAGTCTAGGAAAAACCAGGTATTATATCATGCTGGGGCTTGTGCTGTGTTTCTAGGAGCAAAGGTAGCCCAGACCCCAGTTTATCCCTATAGGGGATTAGTGTATTAGTCACCCTGTAAAAGCTCAATTTATTATGATTTTTAATGTTTCTTTTAGCACTCGCTTGTAAAAGGTGAAGAGGGGAGCTACAAATGTGTCTGTGTTCCCTGCCCCCACCCCTTTCACACATACACTACACTCTATCAATTTGCTATGAACGCAAGTTCAATAAAATCAAATCCAGAGGTATTGGCTTTGACCAATTAGCTTACCTTTGCTGTGTTGGACTTTGTCCTGGTTTGGTCCAGTGCACGTAATGAACAGGTGAGATTATTGCAGTAGGCATCCCACACTTGGGACTGAAAATAAGTTAGAAAGCTGGGATTTGGGTTTGTGTGTGACTGGATCCTTCATCGCTTACTACTCCACATGGGCTGCTTTGTAGATATATGTCATTGTTTACTTGGGGCTCACTGTTGATGTTTCTGCCAGTTATTCTAAACTAAGAGTTTTATACAACTACTGTTCACTGGGTTTTAAAAAAGAAAGAAAAGGAAACAGCTTGAATCCTATGCTTACACAGAAATGCATAAGACAGCGTGGTGGCCGGGATGGTGAGCGCTCTTAAGCAGTCACGAGCGCGGGTCATCGTGATGCCATCCAGGCTGGGTCTGCGTCTAAGCTGCTTGGTATTTGAACTTCGGTGGCTATTCATTATTCAGGTGAATCTTTCGTCCCCCATCGTTCATGCACTAAAATAGTAGCTCCTACTCTAGATGTAATATAGCAGAAGAAAGCCTGGCTCTAGTAAAAAAATCGGAGTTGAAATCTCTGTTCTGCCCTTTTCTAGCAATTCCATGTTTTTAGGGGCCAAAGTGAACATAATTCTGATCCCTCCTTCAAGGAAAATAATATGGAATTATCAGTGTGAAATTGCTAGAGTGCCAGTCAGGGACTCAAAAGGACTCGTTCAAGTGAAGAACTGAAAGACACGGAAGCTTTATTAGCTTCACTAAGTTTGCCTGTGTATAGCTGTATGTCAGTTAACCTCTTTGAGCCCCAGTTATTTCATTCCTAAAATGGAATTAATCATGCCTGTCTATTCCAAGAGAGTATTGTAAAGAATAAACAATAGTAAGTATGTGTATGGGTGTTTTTGTTCAAATAATCATACACACACAAAGTATACCTCTATCCATACTATAATATGTCATGGTCACAGTCCACTCTGTAGATCTACTACTGAATTATTTGTGTCATTGTTTCTTTTTTTTCTTTTTATTGAGTTTATTGGTACATTCTAGGTATACAGTACAGTTACATTCATTACTGAGATCTTGTACCTTTACATGACAGGTCTTAGTTCTCATTTTTTTCCCCTTGTCCCTGCCCTCCCTTCACCTGCTCCTCTCCTCCCCATTTACAAACACTTTATTTCCATTTTTTCATTGTCTCCTATTTTTTTCTTTTCCCTTATTCCCTTTCCCCTACTCTTCCCACTTTCCCTACTCCTTTAGCCCTTTTCTTCCTATTTCACATTGTATCATTGTTTCTTACTGGTTTGTTGGCCAGCACATTTTCATGTGACCACTATTTGTACTGCTTGTATTTCAGATCTAGAAAGAGATTAATAATGAAAAGCCTCATCATCTTTCCTGTGTGTGAGATATGAGTAACGATCCATCTCAGGACTGTCTCCACTCTGCTGCTGCACATGTAAGTGGCTTCTGATAAATTTCATTAGAGCCTCCATCATTATGTTTGTAATTTCAACTATATCAGGAAAACAACTACCTACCTGGATGGTTATCAGTAAAATGTCTAAGGCTGTTGGCTCCTCGGGTGTTGACAGAGACTTCCTCTGGCTTTGCAGCTTTGAGATCTGCATCCATTTGCCGTTAAAAAAAGAATAAAGCATCTCCACCTCTCTGATGGTGACCATGAGGATGTTTCCATGCCGGTCTTTAATGGGCTCGTAGTAAACTCTTCCCAAGTTGTGTGTTCCAAGTAAATTCTAGAAACAAATAGCAGTAGCTGAGATGATAAGGCATAAGCAAAGCAATACAACCACGACAAAAGACACACTGAATAAGTGTATGACTTCTGAGAAGCTGTATGTTTTGTCAGATTGAAACCTGGAACGTGTGGCATCTTAGAAAAGCACTTAACAGAAACTTAAGAAAAAGTCTTCACTACAAGCCTATGAAGATTATTGCAAGCAGCACAAAAATCAAGTTTTTTCTTTTAAAAGCAAGTTCAATATCTGTAAAGATCTCTTACACACGTAGACACACTAGCACATGAACCTCAGTTAACCAGTACTTGAAGAGAATCCCAGATGTTTTAAAGAAAAATGCCTGATATTTCAAATATGCTACTGGTGGAGTTGTCAAGAGATCTACAGCAAGCTAGTGTGAGGCGGGGTTGTTTAAAATGAAGAAGTGAATTGACAATGTAGCACATTGTATAGGGCCCCAAGTGAGGGTGCATTCCCTTCAAGATACTTTAATTGGGAGATTGGCCTGGCTCCACTTACCTGCATTTAGGGTATTTATTTATTTAAAAGCTTGTTAAAATTGCTTATAAAGTAGGTTGATTGAGATAGACAAATATTTTAAAGAAGTGGAAAAGGAAGGAAGGATGTCACATTAGATGTGAGGGGCCCAAGTGGGTGTTATGGAAAATAAGCAGGCGTTTAACAAAAATGCAGAGTTTAAAGATTTCTAACCTAGAGCCCTAGATGATTGGGATACAGTTTTCTCTTGCTTCGAATAGCTGTATTTTAAAAGTTATAAATGACCCCAGAGGTCTGTAAATGATAATGAGATGACCTGCCAGCATGATAGCAAAAGTAGAACTGCAATTTGTAGAAGTGATAATGTTGACCTAAAAATAAATGAGCCAGCGGTCAACATTAGTATCTCAAAAGCACTGGCGTGCTCCCATATAGGTAGGGATCATGTCGTAAGCCTTTTACTCTTCCTTGCAATAGTCAGACATAATGTGTAAGGAATTTTCTAAATAATTACGGACATATTGTAACGATTCACTTGGCAGTATTAGTGCTTTAAAAATAGCCTAAATGGATTTTCCCTTTCTAACAAGTGATCCCAAGTAATAGAGAATTGGTTTGGGTAAGGTTTTTAGTCCAGGCCTTCACAGTACTGTAATTTTATATAGAGGCAGTTTACTAATGAGCAGTGTTGTGCTGGTAAACTGGCTAAAAGAACATAATAATAAAAGGGAGATATCTGATTTGCAGCATCTACCAATCTCTGTGGTGTAAATATCCTTGCCTTAGTTTATTTCAAGCTAACCAAACTTTGATAACAAGCTTTCAAAATTTGTGCGTATTTAACAGTTGGCCCTCCCGAGCCAGTACAAGCTGGCTATAGCACAGCCCTACTATTATAACTTCACTGTACCGGTGTTGAGTTTCAGGGCTGGCTGGTATTTCTTAACTATTGGACTGACTGTTTACCCTCTCTGGTCCCAAGTTTCACCTCCTAAATTAAAGGTCCTTATAGCTCAGATGTCCCTTATGCTAGTCCTTACTACATAGGGAGTGGTGTCGCACCATGGCGTGCTTGCACAGGGGCGGATTGTTATCACCAAAAACTCTAAAAGGTTCACCCTCACTGTCACAGAGTGTTTGCAGGATTAAATTAAATAACACATGAGAAAGTATTTTTGCATTCTTCTAAGCCTGCTGCGGTGTGGGCATATGGGCTTTCTTTTCTGCTATAATTAGAAGCTCACCTTGTCTTACCACCTGCTCATTTTTAAGATCCAGTCCAGATTTCACCTTCTCTGGGAAAACTTTCCTTACTCTCAGAGGTAGAATTTACTTTCTCCTCCTGCCTTCCCGATTATTTTCTGTACAGACTTTTATCAGACGTTGGCTTTGCTGCATAAAATTGATGCACATAGCATGGGTTCATGATTTTTTCATCTGTGTCCAATGAGTCCTTTGTATGGTGCTTGCCACATACAGTAAGAATGCAGCAGTTCTTTGTTGACCAAATTAGCACACTGTATTGCATTAGAACACTGGAAAATATGGTTCACTTTGGACCAAGGCTGATGGTATACACTGATTAAGACATTCGTCTCATTAAGTAGGTATTGTCATTGGTTCACTGTCATCTTTGGATAGATTTTCTAATAGGCTGAGTAAGAAAGCACTAAAATCATTCTGAAAATTTTCAATGACATCAAATTGGATTGGGGGTACCCAATAGAAAAGCAGAATATTCTTGTGAAAATAAATTACAATCATGTTTCAATGGGATCAAATACAAGGTTATTTAGATTGTAAAGGGAAAATAGATCATGTTAATACCTGTCAGGCTGTATAATCAGGTTAGGTAGTCTGGACCCCTAATGGTCTGACAAGGCAAAGAGGAGTACGAGCCACCTGACAGTGAATAGGAATGCATCTATTTTATCATCAGAACAGATTATAGAACTATAAGCAAGCCCTTGATAGAGGCACTGTTTTGGAGAGTTTTATTTAGATTGTGGTGACATGGGAAGTTGAAAGAAGTCCAGAGTCAGAATGCGAAGGCCTATAAAAGCAGAGTAAAATTTTGAGAACAATTTCAGAAGTAAAAAAGAAGACATAGTTCATAGATTGTTATCTAGCTCTCATTCATTAATACTAATTTCTAAAAACCGTGGAAGAGGGAAGTTTAATGAAATACAACCTACACTGTCAGATTGTTATTGTCTTTGAGGATAAATAATTCTGATACTTCTCACCAGGAGAACAATATACATTCTCTTCCTAAGAAGAGGCCTCTGCTATTTTCTTTCTTTCTTTCTTTCCTTCCTTCCTTTCTTCCTTGCTTCCTTCCTTCCTTCTTTCTTTCTTTTTGTTACCGGGGATTGAACTCTGGTCCTTGCACTTGTGAGGCAGGTGGCAACACCACTGAGCTAAATCCCTGGCCCCCTCTATTTTCTTGAGGAAAAGAAAACAGGGTGGGGTTTTGGTCCCTTATAGGCTTTCTCATCTTAGTTTTTAAAATCCAAAGGCTAACAGATACTTGTTTCTCTTTCTGTGTAGAAACTTTTAATTAATTCATTAATACTTTACCTTCTTTGAAATAAACTTAAATGGCAATTCTAAAATCAGTACTAATGCTGCAGAATTGACTTATATTTAAAAAAACAGTAAAGATTATTTAAAATTTTTGTCTACTTTTTGCAAATTATCATATAATATGCTGAATATTAAGAATGCAGTCCTAGGAGTTATATAGATCTGGATTTGAATCCATACTCTTCTATTTCTACTTGTGAGAATGGATACAAATTAAACTTTATGTCTTAGTTTTATCATCAGTCAAATGAATATGAGTAATAGTACATTCACATTAGGTTGTAGTAAAGATTAAACAAGATGCATTTGGAAATCACTTAGCACAGTGTTTCACACCTAATCTGTTAAATGAAAGATAGTAGTTATTACATTATCATTATTTACTCCTTGCTATTTTAAGGAGGACCTTGTTATAGAATAGAAATCAGTTAACAAGGATTAAATGGAGTTGTTGGTATATACTGTGATGAAGGATAAACCGGAGAAAGGAAGGAGAAAAAGATTATGGATAAAGTCCTGTGTGTCATAAAATGTCTGGGCCACAAATGAAAGATTCTAAGGTAGGGAATTCCACAGCATGGTTTCAGGTTGGCTGTTCTGGCAGAAGATGGAGAATGGGTTGGAGAGTACTGAGAGGAGACACGGGAGGATGACACTGGGGCTTTTGGTACAACTAAAGTAATCAGGCAGCAGTAGTAAGACTGGAAAGAAGCAGAGAGTAAAAAGAGATACATCACAGACAGAGCAACAGAATTTATGGATGGTTAACGCCATTCAAGTTATATATGGTACATTTTTACTTTCCTTGGAACATTGTGAAAATGTTAGATTAATAAAGTGATCTAAATGGTTAAGTATATGCCAATTCACAAATTCATTTTTCTTTTTCTGCAGTTTTTTTCTGTACTTTATCTCCCACCTCTCAGGTGCCTTCAACATTTCTAGAAATTTTAATTATAGAGACAAGCAAATAGTTTGGATACTAAATCCTCCTGCAAAAAGATGAAAGCAACTGCTGTTTCTGCAAGCAGAAACATGGAGGAGGGAAGGTAGAGCCTAATAGTATTAAAGCTTTTGTTGAGGGCTCTATAAGAGGTGATGACTACAAGATTATGATTGCCATGGTGGGCTGGAGAAATACCCACATTGTAATTGTGGTCCAAGATACTTTTCTGTGATCACTTTTCATTTGGTCAGAGTTTTCCTTAAATGTGATTTTGGGAGGTATTTGGGGTTAGATTGACAAATACACTTATTTACCCAAATAGTAAGTGCAGAGGGTCTTCCACATGCCAAACACTGGGGGTCTAGAGGTAACCAAGGCAGACATAGTTCTTGAACTTAGGAAGTCATAGAGCAAATTGGTCACTATACAGATATTGATAAAAATTATTAACTAGTGGGGTTATGATCATTGTCCTGAATGAAGAAAACAAGGTGCTATGGTAATGATTCAGCAAATCAGGAAGTCAGAGAAAGGATTCCTGAGGAAGTATAAAAATTAAGCTGTGATCTCAACAATATATAGGAATTAGCAAGGCAAAGAGGTGGAAAAAGACGGTTTTAAACAGAAAATAGCACATGAGCTAGCAAAAGAGATTCAGAAAGGCAGATGAAAAAGCTGGAAAAAACCCAGGAGAATGTGGAATTCTGGAAGCCAAGGATTGTACCAGTTGGGAAAAGGAGAGTAGGATCCTGTGTATCAAATGCTGCTGTGCTATCAGTTGCAAAGAGGGCTTAACACTGTCCCTTGGATTTAGTAAAACTGAAGTCATTGGTAGGGGTGGAAACAAATTTTGTGGGGGCTTTATTTAGATGAAGACTACAAAATTATAAATATAAAGTTGGGTAATTTACAATGTGAAATAGGAAGAAAAGGGCTAAAGGGGTAGGGGAAGTGGGAAGGGTGGGGGAAAGGAAATAAGGGAAAAGAAAAAAATAGGAGAAAATGAAAAGAATGGAAATAAAGTTTTTGTAAATAGGGAGGTGAGGAGGAGGCGAAGGGAAGGCAGGGACAAGGGGAAAAAATGAGAACCAAGACCTGTCATGTAAAGGTACAAGATCCCAATGATGAATGTAACTGTATTGTATACCTAAAATGTACCAATAAACTCAATAAGGGGAAAAAAAAAGAAAAAAAGAGAATAACCTCTAAAAATGAGACAAACACTGAATGAGAATAGGAAAGAAAGCAAAAGAATCTTTCATTCCAGAACAAATTCATTTGTAGATGAACTATTGTCTTTTTGAAACATCTGAGGTGGTCCAAGTAGCCTGGGCTGTTCTACTGGTCTGGAATTTTCTGATGTGCCTAGGGCTTCAAGACCTTTGTTTTGACTCTTTGTCACAATAGAGAAAATAGTTTATATTTTTTTAAAGTTGGGTATAAAAATGAACATTTATTTAGAATGAGAAAAGACCCCCAAACTGCTGGAGTATTGGGAATTGCTTTTTTCTTCCTGAAATTTCTGGCTGTTTACCAGAAATATCTCTTGATTGCAACCCAAATCTCTCTCCCACACACCCAAGGGTTCATACAAATGATAGACTTGGAAGCTCTGTCTGCCTTTTATTTCTGGTGGACTTTGGGTGCAGTTTTATAGGCATGGTGGTACAAAAGTCAGAGAGCTGATAACTAATGGTAAATGAGGAAGTAAGTGGAAAAAGTTGTGTGTAAGGAGGAGAAGAGAGATTGTTCCGTAGCTGAAGGGTTATGTGGGGCTAAGAGAGGAATTTGGAGGAAGTTAGATTGGAGATGCTTGAGTATTTTAAAATAAAGATGGGAGGTAAGAGATGGGATCCAGAGAAAATGTAGAGAGATGAGCTTTTGGTAGAAGTGAGAATCTGTTGGAATAGGAGAGAAGAGAAGGTGGAGTCAATGTAGGGAGGTTTGTAAATGTGGTGGTGGCAAAAAATCTCTTCCATTGCCATATATACATATATATATATATATTTAGTGAATTAAGCAGTAAAGGCAACATTATCTGGAAATAGACTGTGGAGGAAAGGAAGAAGGGGTACAGGGAGGTGGAGAAGGTTTTAAATAGTTGCAGCATGAGAAAGAAAATTTATTAGAGAAATTGAAAGGGACTGCTAGCTAACATTCCATGTGAGAATCTTAGTACAAGGTTAACATAAAACCAATCAACTTTTTAGGTGATTTTCTGCACAATCAAGGTACAGTTACTTCAGTGTAGACATATTGGATTCATCCAGACTTGAGGCTTTTGAAAATAAATAATGCGGAGGGAGAAAATGTAGAATATTTTCAAGGAATGATTATGATGAATCATGAAATCTAAGCTTAACAAGAAGGAAAACAACCTCATAGGGCAGGTGATGCATTATGAAAAGTGGTGGGATTGATAGATTTAGGAGCCAAGGAAATCCAAGACTGTTGGTATGAGAATGTGGAGTAGGGTCACACTGGCCATCGTGGCATCCCTGAGCATCTGACTGCACTGGACTGTAACAGCCTGATCCTTCTCATGTTACTGATATCACATGAAAGCGTTCTGGGAAGCCTCTAATAAACACATGATAAAGCCATGCTTGAAAATTTAAGGTTGTTCGGTTTGGGATCCGGGCATATTTCAGGCATACAGTGGGTTTAGGGAGGGTCCTTTAAGGGGTGTCAGCCTCCTGGGAATGTACTTTGTCCTAAAGAAAGAGCAATGTGAACGATGGTGACACGCTCCACCCAGTGGGTCAGTGACGAAAGGAAGGAGTGCTCTGAATGAACAACAGTACTCATGGCCCAGTTCCAAGAACTTCTGGACTTGGAGGAGAAGGTTCTACAAGAAAGAGTGAGTGCAACGTAGAGAACTGTGTGCTAAAATCTGTGACACCACTTAGGACAAAAGGCAGTAAATTACCTTTGTAATGGAATATAACACAGGGGAGCCGAAAGTAACCTTTCAGAATTGATTGTATTAGCAACACAATAATAATTATTAGAACAGAGTGTTGAATTATTGTCATGAGTTCAAGAATCAAAATTTTGTAATAGCCGGGTGTGTTGGCACATCCCTGTAATCCCAGCACTCGGGAGGCTGAGGCAGGAGGATTGCTGTGAGTTTGAGACCAGCCTGGGCTACACAGTGAGTTCCAGAGCAGTCTGAACTACATAGTGAGACCCTGTCTCAAAAAACAAAACAGAAAAAACAAAACAAAACAAATTTTGTAATCATTTTTTAATCCCAAATCCCAGCACTCGGGAGGCTGAGGCAGGAGGATTGCTGTGAGTTTGAGACCAGCCTGGGCTACACAGTGAGTTCCAGAGCAGTCTGAACTACATAGTGAGACCCTGTCTCAAAAAACAAAACAGAAAAAACAAAACAAAACAAATTTTGTAATCATAGGCAGGGGTGGAGCTGTAGAATTTTGTTTGTATGGTTTTGGTTATGGCTCAGTGATCACTTAAGGACCCCAACTTCATGTCACAGATGTTTTTTGGTGCTGTGATCTACAAATGAAGGTCATACCAGAAAACAATGACAGGAAAATCCAGAAGAGCTTGGTTAGCAATCACTGCCATTTCTACAGCCTACACAGATTCTTGCAGGGCTTGGGCACTTGATTTGATTTGATTGATAAAATGGAAGGATGATTACATATAGGACTAGAGGTACTCTTTTAAGAGTCGCTTTCTTTGTTTTTTATAAGTAAGCAAAAACTGTACATAAATTCCTATGTTCTATCAAGAGCACTACATCAAGAAACTCCTTTGGATATCTGCTGGTCTCTGTCTCCTTCTTTATATGCTCATAAGTGCTCCCTTGTTCATGCAGCTGCAAGAGTCCTTCAAGTGACCCAGTAAGACTTCTCTTATTTTACAAGTGATGAAACTAAGGCTCTGAAGGAGAACCGAGATGTCTGATTAGTATTAAATCTAGAACTTGAGTCTCCTCACTCCTTGTTCATGCCAAAGGCACAAATTCCCCATATAATTATATGTGCAACTCAAAACAAGAAGCCTTCATGTGCCCAGGGGTCTGAAAGAGGGAGGAGTTCCCCCTTTTCCTTTCCAGGTAGGACTGGCAGTGGAGCTCTCCAAGGTAAAAGGACAAAAGCCCTGAGGGTCTGGTCCCTCACCTGTAGCTGGGCTGTTGCAGCAAGCATCTTCTGCCGAGTTTGCAGCACTGTGGATGAGGACATTGAGATAGGTACACTTTGCCTCAGCCACCTTATGTCTTCCCACATACAGGACAGCTGCAAAAGAAGTCACAAGACCATATCATCGTCCAAGCCAGTGCATGATTTAGGTTGTGGCATCAAAGCAAAGCAGAGAGAAGGAAACTTGACCCCTGATGTTTGTTCTCCAGTCCATTTTCAGATACATGTGAAACAATTTTTTGATCTCTGTCCAATTGGAAAAAGATCTGAATGCTAACGAAACAGTCAGATCCACATTTTAGTCTTTGCCAAATGATCCCATAACTCAGAATACTGGAGACACAACCTGACAGGATGCAAGCTTCCTTCTTTGAAAATGTAGTGTAGAAACTATTCTGTTACGGCGCGCGCGCACATGTGTTTAATGATAGGGCATATTAGGGCTTAAAGGGACTCGGGGTAATTTACTTCCACCTCAAAACTTTAATCACTAGAAACCCCTCAACTAAAGGCTTATAGATTTATGTGCAGTAAAATTGGTGCGATGTGGGGAAAAATGAAATCAGAACTCAGCATACCTTGGTGAACCACAGAAAATCTTGTGTAATGGAGCTGGTGTGAGAGTCATCTATCTGAACGATTGGTATTTGATCTTCATTTGTAACTAACATATTGTCTTTGTAATAAAACACAACAGCTATGTAGAGTCCCCTAGAAAGATAAAACAAAGTCAAAAAATTGTCCTCAACTGTTTCCTCTTCCAAACTTGAGTCCTGGAAAAAGACAATTTTTCTGGATGTGAAAAAAATATAAATCTGAAATCTACCTAGAAACATATTCCTGTCATGTATCACAAGTTCACTGGCTAGAACTCAGAGAAATTACTATCTTGCCCAGATTCTTGGGATGCATTCCTTTAATAAAAAAAAATTCTATGAAGTTTCCACTCAGAATCAAAACCAACCAATTCCTAGAAGTTAACACTTCCTGGAAAAACTATATAGGACCCACCGTTTTAAGGTCTTCACAAACTTGTTTGAAGAATGGAATAGGTGTTTCAGGCTTCTTGACACTGACTGTTTGCGGCCTGTGGTTTGTAATTTTGAACTTTCTAGAACAGAAAAAAAATACAATATAAATTTAATATGACAGATCAACACTTTCATTCCTTTTTCTTTCCTTCCTGCTTTCTTATCCCTGTCCCCTCAGTATCATTCATCAGTTTCATGTAGGATTCAGCTCATTCACTTCTGTAAGAGGCTATTAAACCTTATTAAGCTAATGGTTAATTCAGTTAATGAACAACTATATGTTGGAGATGAAGAATATTAATAATTCCAAGAGAAACAACTTAGATGTTTTATCGATACTGTTAGGTTGAGCGATTTATCAAAAAGGACCAAAAAAAGGAAAGTAAGTCTTTTGCTCTACTTTTCCCTCCCTCAATTGCCTTTTTAAAAAATTGCCTTTTAATAGTCACACAGTTCTCAATGCTGCCAAGTCCCCCTGGTTAGCCTACATAGTCTATTAAATTATTTTCATTATAAAATGAATATAAGCATATTATAGAAAGTCTCAGGCATGAGGGAAAAGAAGTACAAAACCTCACCAATATCATCACATCACTTTCTACAACCACACTAGAATTCTGGGACAGTTTTTCTAGTATGTATGTTGGCCTACAAACATAGTTGTAGGGATAATATGATTATCATGCTCATTATCCAGGGAAGAAACTGAGACTGAGGAATGAAATAGATTGTCCAAGTTTGCAAAGTCAGGAAAACCTGAGACATTTCTTTGAGTGAATATTTTTATGGGGGGGTGTGCTATCATGTAGATTTCTCTGTAACCATAATAGTAAACAATTCATCTCTTGCTTCTGTTGTTCAGCTCTTCTGTTTATAACCGGGAACTCTCACTAATAAAGGTAGTAGAACTTCTAGACTTCTGTCATAGTCCCTGCAACTAATGGAGCTGGACTGGATAATCACTGCTTTCAGCTTTTATGAGCTATGTCAAGGGAAGCTGGGGTTGTGGGTGTCATCACGAAACTTCAGACAGACTTGCCACCGTGGCTGAGAACATATCTCGTACCACTGCTGTTAGGTATAGAAAACTGGGCAGATGACCCGTGATTGAGGCCCAGTGGAATTCTGCCTGTGATCTATACGAGTAGCTGACAAGACACAAGCGTTCATGCCAGTTTCAAGCTTGTGCTGGTAGTGACTGTTCCTGGAAAAAAGGAAAAAAGATTTTTTTTCCTGACTTGAGCATGAGTTTGGCTGCTTGAAAATGATGCTGGTGGGACATCGGTTAAATGTTACATAGTAAACATATTCACTGTTACCATTCTCTCCATAAACCTGGCTAAAACCAGAATTCAGGTTAAGGGAACAACATAAATCTATAAAGACACATCAACAGGGAAGAAGACAAAAACAAGTAGATTTTGGTAGCTGGAAAGCAGAAGGACGGATGGATTTAGCAGACTTGAGAAAAATGAAGCTTAAATCAGCAGTAGAGAAAACTGAGAAATAATCTGATTCACCCCAGGGGCACCATGGGCTGCTGGAAGTGGAGGGTGTATGTGGAGCAAAACTCTGAAAGATTTATTGAAATCTATTTAAAAAGGAGTGATATTTCTAGGTTTCCTCCCCCACTACACTGCTTCCCCACTCTAGGTGAAAGCTAATGGCTTATTTTCTGGGAAGGAAAAACAAAACAATCCAAAACCAACCAAAACCCAAAACAAAACAAAACCTTCTAAAGAAAATAAAACAAACCAACAACAATAACAACACCTCGGGTCTCTGGAGTGGGAGGTAGGAAAACATCAGGTACAGTAGGAAATGGAGTAATGGTGGTGGTGGTACTATATCAAGGACAGATGGACTAAATGAAAGTTTCCATACATTACGTTTGTTTTTTATTGGTTCTCCAGACACTGGTAGCCAAACTTATACATTCAGGGGAGGCCACTAGAAGAAACTTCCATGTAGAATTTGGCCAGCTTCAGAGAATACACCCAAAGATTCTGACATTGGGGATTCCCCAGTAAAATGCTAGTTCCAGTTTACCCTGTAGTGAGGCCTATAAATTGTCTTATCCATGAGCACAGGGCTCCCCAGTGACTGTTGATTTCTCTTAAATCTGAGAAGATACCTAAGGACCACTAGGCATGTGAAAATCATGTCCAACATGAAATATAAATAAGCAGAAAAACAACACAGGAAAGATTATACTGAAAAAAATACCAAATGAAATAAAAGCCTATCATTAATATTCTGAGAGTTAAGATATTTTATCTTTCTAAAAAGCACAGGCATTTATCAAAAGTACCAATCATAGAATAAAGAGAGCATTGAGAATTAAAAATGTTATCGAAACTTAAAATTCTCCAAGTAAGTGTGGAGTAAAAGGACATGAAGATGGAAAGTAGAAGAAACAAGGAAAAAAAATATGGAAGGACAAGTAGGTGATCAAACATCTGAATAATAAGGATTTATTATGACGGAGGAGAGGAATAGAGTTTTAAAGAAATAGCTTTAAAAATGTCCCACAGTTGAAGGGTACACACTTCTGTATTGAAAAGGAATGGCTAATTGCCCGGTAAAACAGACAACAGATGACATATCAGCAAAACACAGAGAAATTATAGAATATGGTAGTAAGATGAAAAGTAAAAACCTGAGGCGGGTGAGGGGGAGAGGGAGAGAAAGAGAGAGTGAGAAAATGAATTAGAACTTGGAATCCAAGTGCATAAGTCTTGTCAGCAGTAAAAGCTTGAGAACATCAAGCAACACCCTCAAAATTTAAAGGAAAATTATTTCTACTGAGAATTCTTTACTTGTCCAGACCCTGAATAAGTGTTAAGTAAAGTAACATCTCTTTAGACACATATCGTAACCAAAAATAAGCTCCCGTGCACCCTCGCAGGAAGTTACGAAAGATTCTACCATGACAGGGACCAACTGAAGAAAGAAGAAGACATGAGATGCCAAAGGAAAAACATCAATATTGGGAAATGATAGGACGAATCCTTAGATTATAGTGAAAGGCAATAGCAGGGTGACAGCTATGCGCAGGGCGTGAAGGCAGCAGTCGCCTGTCTAGAAGGAACAGGCCAGATGCTCCGTGACAGAGTTACTCAAGAAGGTGCAATTGAACAACACCTAATGTATCTGATTATATTGGCAGAAGATCGATAAAAGTGGAGGGGAGTTTGGAGATTACCACAGCTGCACAGAAATGCTTAGAGCATGGGAAGTTTATTTTATCCATATTGGTGTGCCTGGCACCCGGCACATAATAGGCAGTGTTTTCTGTCAGTGTTATTTTGCAAGCTGAATAACTGGGTGGTAGTTGAAATTCAGTCCTAATGGATACTGTTTTGATGAAAACAACTGGCTTTATAATTCATTGTGTCAAGGACATGAACTGTATGAACAATAAAGTTTGTCAACATTTCCCTTTATTTGTCATCCCAATACTGAGTATGTAAATTAGCTGTGGCTAGTTCTTTAGTCAAAATGCAGGTATTTATATAGGTTTTGATATTGTCTATGTAGGGTGTTGGTGAGAGAAGAGATATTTTATTTTTGTTTCTGTATTTGGAATATGTTATATATTTAGTGGGGTCATCAATTACACTTTAATTCTAGAGTATATATATCACTAGCAGAGCACCGAGCATGGAAATTGGCCCAAACTCTCATTTGGAAGAAGAATGGAAGAAAAATAAGCTAAGGTTTTCAAGGGGCTTTTACTGAGTTAGGCAAGTATAGCCCATTATCTAATTTAATCCACATAACACTGCAGTTACTTTGGCAATACTGGTGATATTGAACCCAGAGAGTACTGAGCTATGTCCTTTGCCAATTTAAATTTTGAGACAGGGTCTTGCTAAGTCATTAAGTCGCACAAGTTGGCCTTGAACTTGTGATTTTCTTGCTTCCCGAATAGCTGGGATTACAGGAATGAGCCAATGTGCCTGGCTCAATGTAGTTGAATAGTTTAAATAACAATTTTATAGTTTTCTGTAAGAAATACTTACATCATCTTTACTTTATCTTCTTAAACTTACAGTTGCATTGATTCATTTTAGAATTATTCCTTTTTTTTTGTGTGTGAGCTACTTTATTTTATCTTAACACATAATAGGTCAGGATTTCCCAAAGTTTGTGCCTTTGGAATCTTAATTCTATGAAAATTTCATAGGGCTAAAGAAGTTTGAAAAATGCTACTTTAACCAAATTGACGAAGTCTCTTTATTAAAGTCCAGGTATTGTAGTTTCTATTTTACATTTCCAGGAGAGGGATGAAGAATGAATTATTTCCTAAACTTACTGACAAGAGAACCACTTGCAGATGAGCATCTTATAGGACGTTGTTCTTTGAAATACTCTTTGGGTGTCGTTTAAGCATCCAGAGTATAATTTATTTATTTATTAATGAGTTTATTGGTGCATTTTAGGGATACAGTACAGTTACATTCATTATTGGGATCTTGTACCTTTACATGACAGGTCTTGGTTCTCATTTTTTCCCCTTGTCCCTGCCCTCCCTTCACCTGCTCCTCCCCTCCCCATTTACAAACACTTTATTTCCATTTTTTCATTTTCTCCTATTTTTTTCTTTTCCCTTATTACCTTTCAGAGTATATTTTAATATAATAAGCATATTTCTCCTTTTTTGGGACGCTCTATCTTATGCTTTACTTAAGTCTTTCTTAACATTGTGTGTATATTTAAATTTCTATGAGGAAAAGTATGTATGTGCCAGGAGTTGAATGGAAACTATAGAAATAATTGGATGGGCTTAGGCAATCATTTCTTCATTATTAGATAGCAATCCAAAAGTAATAGGGTGAACATGTGAACTCGCAGAAAATATATTTTTAAAAATCCTCCCTTCTCATGCGCAGTTTTAGCTTTTCCCCTCAGATAAGGACAAAACACAAAGTGGTTTCTGAACTGCAAAGAATCATCTGTCCAGTTGCTTGAGTACTCTTGCTTCCATACAGGGTTCCGTGGGCAAGGGAATATTGGGGAGACAGAAGAGAAAGGAGCCCAGCCTGGTTCGGTGAGTCCTGGGTAACTGTGAACTGGCAGGTACTTCAGTCAGTGTGGAATTTCGACGGTCCAGGCTTGGGTAAAGTCTTCCTACAGATCTGAGAATGAAAATGCCGCTTGGGTTTCCTTCTCAAGCTGCTTACATACATATTTACATCTCTTAATGAGCCACTCATTAGAAAAACATTACTGTCTTGCAAACGCTTGTCCTCATTTCTAGCTTAGAGCCAACATTTCTGAAGGGCCCTGTTGTTACAGCTATACAGTAATTGGGAACACTTTTTGCTAATGCTAAGCATGATTTAGACCTAGTCCAAACACAGCTTGCACAGGATCTCTCAGTTTCCATCATGGCTATCTTACCCTAGCAGTACCCTGAATCTAGAGAGCACAATGTATTTGAAGATCTGAATGCAGCATGGAAACATGAAAACTCTATGGAGGTTTTAATTCTGCAAATAAAACGAAGTGCCTCTTCCACGAATCATTACCCAGATCGGAAATCTGAGCCCGTCCCATCTGAACAGCCTAAGCAGCAAAGCAGCTTTTAAAACCATCTCAGCGATTCCCTGAGTTCCATGAACTAAAATTCACAGGAGGTGTGCTCTACTTTCCCCTGAGTAGCGAAGGGAGGAGGACGAAATTCAGAGTGAGATTAAAGTGCAGTGTCCTGTCTTGATGCGTGGCTGCAAGACAGACATGAAGGATGGCAGGAAGACGAGTTGGAGCCAGAAACAGGTCAGAGTCGAGGTTCTGCCTTTTCCTGGCATTTTGACCTGAGGCAAGTCCCTTAGCTCCAGCTAAAACTGGCAAACTGAGGATGAAAAAGAGAGACTTGATGTGAAATTGCTTTGTAAACTATATTATAAATAGGTCAGATGGTTTGTTATTACTGTTGTTATAATTGTTCGAATTCTCTCGGGGATGCTCAAAGAACTTTCCTTGGGGATGAAAATGTTAAGGGTGAATATCCTCCAAAGTCCTAGCAGCACAGAGTTCTGTGAAGAGACAGTTTAAACAGAAAGGAACTAAAAATGGCAGCTGCTGTTTTTCTTGTGCTTATTTTCAAACTGTTATCACGGGGAGAGGGAGAGAGAAAAAGGAAGGGAGGGAAAGCTTTGCTGAAGGGTTAAAGCAAGATAGTGCCGTAAAGTGATTCCAGATGTACAAATATTAATATCTCTCTCCCCCTGATGAATGAGAAGGTATGACCCAGCTAGGAAACTGCTAAAATTACCGGCGCCACAGAGACCTCAGCGATGGCCCAGCACAGATTCTTATCCTTACCCCGGCAACTGTAACGCTGATGCAGGGCTCGGACCTGCTGTAGCAGACTCTCCAGGACTTCATTCTGTCCCTTGTGTCTGGGCTCTCTGTTGTCATAGTCTTTCCAGTCTATTGAACAAAAGAAACAAACAGAGGAAATTTTAAAGCGGAGGAGGCCGCCTTTTTCCTGCCCTGCCTCAGGAGTTGAGGTTTTGCTCACACTGTCCACAGACTCCATGGATGAGCACCCAGCACACGCAGAGCTGGCAGGCAATGCCAAGTATTTGGAAGCTGCCATTGTTCAGAGTCTTGTGCAAAACAGTAATTGTGGTTGATTTCTTGTGTTGGGCAGTTTTAGGGAAAGAGAAAATAGTAATTGAAAGCCGAGAAAAAATAGAAAATCGGGGAGTCCAGTCTCTCCTCTCCCAGCCCTGCTCCTCTTGTCAGCATCCCACGTCCTAATCAGTTCCCTGGTCACCTTTCCACTCAGAACCCCGAGTCTCAACTGGATGTCTACAGTAGGAAAGAAAAGGGTGGGAATGTGCAGACTAGATGAAATCCACAGTCCCAATGCTTTTATTGTAGGTTTCACACTTTTGGCCAAATTGACATTTCTTTCCAAGGAAAGAGCCTATGTCAGATGCCAAGAAATGGAAATCTACATTTTGCTCTAATGAATGTCTGCTTTGGTTAGCTGGCACAGCAACCCCTGCACATACTCTGAGCCACCAACCACCCTGTCTGCTCAGTCTCTAAATATACAGTATTAGCTTACATGGCAAATTTAAATTGCAATACCCACTGAGATTTTTTTCTCCCCCTTCTATTTTCATTCCATTTGGCTATAATGATATCAAGAGTAATAACTCATATGGGACTAATGTCAAGATTGCAATTCTGCTGTCTCCAACTCTGAGTTTTTTTTTCAGCAGGTCAGGCATTTCATTGTCTACCTCTTTTCTCCTTTATTTTTCCTCCTCCAGTTTTCCTTTCTGAACCTTTCAAAGGCAAAAAACTTAAAAGTGCTTCTTAGCTGAAATGCATTCTCTAAGAATATTAGTCACTCTTCCCCAGAAAATCCAGTTAGTTCACAAGTGTATCTTGGACTTAAATTTTAGCTAAATAAGTTTTAAGTTCCCTCTCCAACATATTCATTTTAAAATTTGGAGTCTTCTTCATTCAGAAACTTAAGCATATGTCATACCTGTCCAGGATAAACCGCATTTAAGAAGAACACAGGTTCTGGAGTCAGAGACATTTGGGTGTGAATCCTGACTCTTCTCAGTCCCAGCTCATTGTTTGCTTACATTCACAGGGCCTGTACTCCCTAACTTGAAAAATGAGGAGAGTATCTACTTGTGAGATTTTTATGAGAATTAAATAAGAGGTATATTAGGTACCTGGCACAATGCCTATTACATGACAGGTATTCTATAAATAATAACTTAGAGTAAAGCCAGTTCATTATGGAAACGCAATTTTTTACATTGTCACCAGGTTACCTATGAAAATAGGGCCCTCAGAGGTTTTCTAATTACCTTTCCTCCTCATTCCTTCTCTTCTATGTAGAGTTCTCTACTTTACCTTTTGGAAAACAGAGGCCCAGAGACAACCATTCCAGTCCTGTCTTGCTTGTTGGTGGCATAACCAAGGCTGTAATGAAGTCTAGTGACTATCCATAGGGTGGCCATTCTCATTTCATTATACCAGGGACAGCTTTTTTTTTTTTCTTTTGGGAAGGAAGGTCAGAATCTTGGGTGGAGTTTGAGTGGCAGGGCTTGGTTGTGGTCAAGTCTGGAGACAGGGAATTGGCAGAGGTGCCTTTTGTAGACTATTTGTTTCTTGTGGGCAAGAACCATGACTTAATCTCTCTTTATTTCATTTTTCTTCTTGGTAACAGTGTGATTTAAAATCTCTTTTTAGGTTATGTGAGATTTAAAAGAAATAATGTAAGTAAAGCAACGTTCTGGCACTTAAGAGACACTTATTTTATTATTGCTGGGGCATTGGGAATAGAAGCATGATGGTATCCAGTAGGCTGGACTAGGAAAGGATTTTTACTGGGGAAATTTGGAAAAATTGGAGAAAATAACTCCCAGTGGTTCTTAGAATAGTTGTAGTGCCCTTCACCTCTGGGCACAGTGAGAATAAAAATTGTCTTCTTGGGTTTCCAAAGGCCATGATTGGCTTGTTCTCTTGGACACATGCATTGAAGTGTGCAGAAGATGAGCAAGACCGTGAGACTGAGTGAGACTCCTGGGTGACTACAGGGCCATGAGCTTGCTGATGCATTGTAGTGCGCGTTAATGCTGTCATCAATGCAAGGGGAGATGAAATGGGCTTGGCTTTTTAAGCTGAGCCTTATTTCATCAAAGGGCAAGCTTCAGCTGATGATTTTATGATACATTAGAAAATCGCTAATGCTAAACTGCAGCCCAAGTGAACACTAGACATGATGCCAAGGTTTTGGGAACGAATCAGTTTTTCTGGTAGATGTTTGGAAGGTTCTGATGACTACATATAATAGGAGACTTTAGGGATGAGGGAGAAAATTGAAAATATATTGAGAAATCAGGAAGCTGACAGGAGCAAACTTAGCATGGTAGGAAAAGAGCAGATTGTGCCACATAATACAGTTCACTGTTCTGGTAATGAGACACCTCGGTTGCAACACAGCTCAGAGCTTACATTCACTGGCCGTATCAGAGTTTTCCAGATCGTAACTCAGACAAGCCTGTCTGGGTGCTTTTCTCTTATTATGTACCATACCATATAATATAAGTCTATAAAAACACATTAAGGTCTTTTGTAAAATTATAAAAAAGTTTTATAGCTCACTGGAACATATTACCAAATTTCCAATTACTCTGTCATGTTAGAATACATTGTCCTCTAGTAAATATCTGAATGCTGATATATGTTACATCACAATGTCATACTCTGTTTATAAATAGAATGGGAGCATTTTTATGTTATTCTTTCCAAGTGATACGGCATGTCTGCAACAAGTGTAACCATGTGTTAGGATTTCATTTCTTAGTCAGTTACACCTACTAGTCAAATATGCTGTTTGAGGAAGCTTGCTATTTAATGCTAATTATCGATGTATCAGTGATTCTTCCAAGTCCTGAACAACGGTTCTTCTCATTCTGGAGAGCTATGAGATGATATCTGAATAGGCCTTGCAGTTTATAGAACCTGAACTTCTGACCTTTAGAAATAAGTGCATCCATACGCAGATCAGAATTGCATAGGCTATGCATTTCAAGTGTGTGGCCTCCTGCTTTACTTTCAGGTCAATTGAGACTAGTATTTGCGTGTTTTTCTTTATACTTTCTTCTCTGCATCTCCAATAATACGTACTCTCCCCTCCCCCAATGTGATTGGTTCCCTTAGTGTCTTAATTTTACAGTTCAATTGTTTCTGATAAATCTTCAGTAATAAAGATGCCCAAATAAGAATGGAATCTATCAATTATCAAAAGCAGGGGAAATTAGAGGCCTTGGAGATCTCTGGCATGTGTGGTCCAAGTCCATGTATGATCCAATATAGCTATTTGAATCCACCAGAAGTGTCAGTGAGCATGGTTGGCTGACCCTTAGTCTTCTTGTCTGCCTGTAGCAAGGCTCTATTAGTTGTCACAGCACAGGACATATGGTAGGGCCTTGACAAATTCAGATTTAATGCCTGGCCCAGACACACACCACTGATGTGACCTTGTGTAATGACCTCTCTGAATCCCAATTCAGAGATTGGACTCTGTGAATGTGTTTCTTTTTTATTTTATTATTATTATTTTTTTGGTACCAGGGATTTAACTCAGGTCCTTGTGCTTGCGAGGCAGGTGGCTGAACCACTGAGCTAAATCCCCGGCCCCTCTGTGAATGTGTTTCTATATTGATAATTCCCTCATCAATAAAATGGGTCAGTCCATAGGGAGTAATTAGATTCAGGCTGTGTGTGAAATGAGTCTTAAAAACTTTATCTCTGATGTTGATAGTAATGCCTATGATCATAGCAGTGATGCTTATCCACAAGACAGGAAGGAGGATGGAGGATTGCAGTGAGTACTAAGAGAGATACTGCATGTCAAAGCCTGTAATATATTGCCTGATTCATAGTTGATATTGGGTATTGCTATAAGACATAAAAACTATGTAAACCCATGAAATTGAATATTAAAAGAGCCTATAATCTCATAACCCAAATGTCCATTATAAAATTGTAAAAATTATCAAGACATACAGACACACCCTTCCTAATTATAGGTGAATCAGCACTTAAATGGAATCCACCCTCACTATTTATATATATTTTTTACATAAAATTTATGCTGTAGAAACTTCTTCCACATAATGAGCGGTTTTGTGAAATGCCATTGTAGTGGTCAGGTTTAGTGCTACTGTACAGATATGAATATACTTTTATCATACCTAGCTTTAAGTTAATATTGGATAGTTCTTCCCATGACATATGATATTTCACTATTGTCAATTGCTGCAGTATACACCTTCATACATAAGTACTCATCTGCATCTCTGTGTCCTTTGGTTAGGTTCCTAGGTGTGCAATCATGGGTTAAAAGGAAATAGATATTCTTAAGACAGTTGATACAGTGTGACACATTGTGTTCCATAAAGGATGTAGTAATTTTCACTCTCACAAGAAGCATATAGTACCATTTTTTACTTTAGTATTAGTGACTTTTAAAAAAAAATGATAAAGACAGAATCCAGAGCAGTGGACTCATTACAAAGACGAATCTATCATATCATCTGTCTGGAAATGTTCGTTCTGGTTAATTACATTTTCTGATTAATAGTTACCAAACATACCAGGAATGACATTAATTTTCAAATAATTTTTCAGTCAGCATTATAAATGTTCTAGATTATATTTGTGACAGAATACCTATGCATAGGAAAGCGTTTCTTCTGGAAAAGTGTCACATTAGTAAAATTTGTTAGATTTTGTTCTGTGAAACAAATGTGGTATATCTCATGTATCTTCTGAGGGCAAGGAAAGGAAGACCAGCGCTAAAATGGACTGTGAACTCTGGGCCAGCCACTCCTAGTGTCCCCAGTCCATCCTCGTGAAGCCCTAGGAAAGAATAGGAATAGATACATTTTGCAGATGATGATTCGAAGTTCTGCGAGTTTAAGTAACTTCTGAGTAACTTTCATAAAATGGTATAATGGCTATCAGGCCTTTTTGTTCCAAATTCCCTCTCCTTTCACTCCAATGAGCTGCCTTCCTGTGACCGTATTTGCAAAGAAACCATTCATTTTGTGGCCCAGATGCTGCCCTGCAGTCTTGTGGGTTGCAAGCAGTGGGAGCAGGGGATGGCAGTGGTGCTTGGAGTTGGAGTCTGTTGCCCTGGTAAAGAGTAGAAAGCACCTACTAGAAGGAGAGGCACAGGCGGGTGTCGTGGTCTGAGCAGGTCCCCATCCTTTCATGTTATAAGCTGAGACTTGAACGAAATATTGTTGTCCCTGCAAATAATTGAAATAGATAATGCATCAGGGATTTTAATTAATCACTTCTGCCCTTGAAAACAGATCTCCATTAACTTGCTTAGCCCTTGTAACACTGTCCATGCCTTAGCCTTCTGTTTTGTTTTTGCTATTATGTTTATATATTATAGCAATCACATTTAAAATGTCCTCTTAGTTTCTGTGTACTTTCTTGTTTTAAAAATTGAGATACTTACTTTTTCTGATCCCCCTTCTCAAAAATCAAATATCAGTATTTAAAAGCCACACAGTTCTTATACAGTTTACCAAAAAAATAGTGATTCCCCCATGCTTGCCCCTTTGTTTTATTTTCTGATCCCCAGAGTCAACAACCATAACTTTCTTTAGCTGATTAACTTACTTTGGAAAATTAATAAGCTATAATAAATATCTGTTCAAGTTAGTGCTTTAAAAACCTGCCTCATTCTTTTATTGGCTGTGTAGTACTTCACTGTAGCAAATTCCATAATTTATTTAGACAGTCTCTCATTGGTGAACGTTGGATTGTTTCCATTTTGTGCTGCAGTAAATAATGCTGCAATGTACTAATAATTTAATGTACAAATGTACATCATTCAGCTGTTCAAGCATTCAAAAATTAATTCTTCAATGGGACATCAATTGTACAGCCATTATTAAAACAATGGCTTATACTTTTGTTTTTTATGATATTAAGAATTAAGGAGCTGTTTTTGTTCGCTGAAAATCTTTTAAAATGTTTTGTATGGTTTTACTTTTCGCTTTGATGCTTTTTTCTTTTTCCTATTGAATGCAAAGGGGCTTTGGAGAAGCCAGCATATGAAGAAGCATTGCTTGCAAACATTCTAAAATGGTATTTGAAGTTAAAAAAAAAAGCAAATCTTTGTAGAGCCTTTGCTAGGGATTTAATAATATTGGCCTTAACAATATTATGAAGTTAAATTTTTTTCTAATATTGAAAATGGGTTTCTCTGCACCCCAAGGCTATAGGGATTTTGTAGAAGTGTAAATCTACTTCTAGGCTTTTATATGATTAGTATAGTGTCTGCATTGCTCTTATTGGATGGCCAAGTGGAAAAACTTAATCCCTGTAGAAATTAGTTCAGATATTAGCAAAACCCTCTTTGGAGAGTTTTCCATTTTTATCACCGTATTCCTTTTTCTTTTAAGCAATGGAAATTCCCTAGGGTTCTTTCTGGCCCTGTTCCATCATGTGAGCCATAGGGTTGGAATCAGTCTTCGGCTGATACCATCTCAGGGGGCCACCCACTCAGGGGCTTGTTTGCTCTGGTAATCCACAGTTCTGGCCTCTGGTGTAGACATGCGATTAGGACTAAAAGTCAGGATTCTTGGTGATGACCCAAACACCAAGAATTCTATTAGAATAAGCTGCTTCAAACTTGGAAAGATGCAACCTAATGCAACTTTTCAATCCTGCATTTCAGGATTATATCTTACAGATAATTTTAAACTTTTGAACTGGACAAAAAATTGTTTTAAGCTCTCTTTAAAAAGATTTTGATGAAAAAGTTTTTTAAAAAAATATCTTTTGCATTGTTATTGAGGACATACAAGTTTTGTTCTTGTTTGAAGTAATTTACCAGGTATTTTTGTTTTTGGCATTTCACAAGTTTATCTGGTTCATAGTTACACAAATAATTACTCTTTGAATTTAGATTGGTTAAATAAATAAAATGGTCTGTTGTAGTTTTTTCATTCATAGTTTAAATTGTTTTAGGTTACTGAGAAATGTAGCTCCACAATGTATAGTTTCTTTTTTTGTGAAAGCAGATTTAGACAGATTCTTTTCCCCTTTTTAATCAAGGGAAAAGGGATTTCTCTCAGGAAATTGTGTTACTCCAATTGATGGCTGATTTCAGCTGGGGCTGTGGGGGTGAGGGCTAGAGAAGGCTGTTATTTTTACCATCAGACAGAGAGTCAAAATTGGATCTCTCAGAGCCTTTGATCCCCCTGAAGATTAGACTGTGATCCAGAAAGCAGCAGCTTTCAAGGCTTGCATGAGGCCAGTCTTTTTCTGATCTCCTTAGAACATGGCAGCTTACAAAGTGGTTCATGCTGTCTGCTTACTCCCTGATGAAATTCAGATTATGGATACCAGACATATCATGCTTAATGAGTGGCAGTTGTTGCCAGAGGCCTGGGTGTTGGCTGTTGCTTCCAGAGTAGGCATTTGCTATCAGCATTTCCACACGAGCATCAGTGACGGAGATGGCAAGTACACCAGGCACACGTTTACCGTTATAAGTCCTGTGATTGTGCATCTCAGGGTGTTCAGGTTGTCCATGATGATTTCTCCAGCCACAGAAGAAAAGTCTTTAGATTTACTCCATTCCACTGGAGGGATGGGGCCAAGGAGAGGAGAGAATAAAATTCAGTCACATGTCAGGAAGCACCATAGATACTATAGCATATAACCTGTCTCAAAAATGATGTTTGCAAGCCTCTTTCCTTATACCAGAACATCTAACAATGTGAAGTCAGTTTCTAAGTTCACCATTATTTTTTAAAAGAGGATCCGAAAAAGTAATGATTTAGTAATCATTAATATACCTTATGGGTTTTTTGGACCTTGATAGATATGTTATATTATGCTATATGTACATTTTTAATGCTGTCAATATGAGATATAATCTGTATTAAATGCAGTCGGATTGCTTGATGACAGAGACATGCTCTTAGAGTTTGCATCATTAGACAATTTTATTCTTGTGTAAATATCACGAGTATACGTACACAAATTAAGCGAGCTGTGATGTCAGTTTACTGAGTAACATGTATTCCATCCTCGACTGAAATGTCCTTATAGGGTGTATGATAATTATGCAGTATTACTCACACAGCCATTTCTGTATAAAGACACATTGTGTGTGTGTGTGTGTGTATAGTTAGACTGACACTGAGGGGTATATAAT